TCTTTTTCAGTTCATTATCTCTTTTCTATAGTGTAGTCATGAATCAACAATGTCATAATACTGTATGAAAGGAAACGATATACTGTGATGTATTAAATGCAACACTGATGATGGATTACTTCATGGACTTTTTCCTCCCTCATTCAGTAGTGTTGAGGAATGTTTTGTACTACACAGCTGAAGAAGAACCGTGTTTATGTTTGGGTGCTATCTTGACAGAGTGAGAAAAAGCAAATCTGTAGGAAAGAACCCAAAGGAGAGCAATCAAAATACCTATGCAATATGATATTTATGACAATATTTTGCTGTTGATCCTCAGTGCTACATTTCCTTTCCTGCAGAAATTGTACAAGCTTTTCTTCTGTGCAACTGGCTGTTCCTTCTAGAGTGTAGCACCTTGCGCCTTTTACCTGTTGTGCTTCATCCTGTTTCTTTTTCTTTATTTTATGTATATATTTTTTTCATCAGTCAAGTTTATTTTAAATTCAAATTCTGCCCTGTGCTGATAAAATGTCTGTATCTTTTGATCGCAACAGTAGATGTAGTCTATAAAATGTATCAAAGGAGTTATGAGAGAAAGTAAATTTGAGTCTGCTGTAATTTATTGGTCAGAGCACAGACTCTGTGGGACAGCCCAAAGTGTTCTTGCTGCCTAATTTGAAATAAGGTAGGATAAAAATAAGTGACTCCTCTTTTCACATGCCTTCAGCAGATGTCCCAGCCATAGGTATGCCATAGATAGGAAATTTCAATGGAGTGTTTTTATGGAAACAAAAAAAAATAAATTGGATTAGAGAACTTGTTCACTAGACTTCTGAGGTGTAAATATTGCTTGTAAAGTATTTACATGTGGAATTTGGAAAAGTTTAGGTTCAAATATGATGCTTAAAGATTTGTCCTTAAAATGTTGTAAGTGTATAAATCTATAAATGCATTTTATCATTAAAAATCAAACTACCATGTCACTGAAGTAATAAATATAAAATTAAGGATGAGAATCAGCAAATTCTGATTTCTGCTGGAGGACCAGTGTAACTAAATGGACAGGTGAAAATGATTAATTAAAGTAAGGGAAACTTCAGAGGAACTGTTTTCATAAGGGAAAATGGAGTATGTTAACATACTCCATTTAGTTTGTAACAGATCACATGCGGTAAAATACATAGACAGAGGGAAGGGAGGTTTGGATTTACTGAGAACCTCACAGTCTAATTCAAAATAATAACAGCACTGCAACGCATGCATTCTGACATTCCCTCTACATGCATACAAATACATAGTGATTTTTTTTTTTATGATTCTCATATGAATTTTCAGATGATCTGGGTAAGAGCTTTGAACATGTTCCCCCAGTCTTCAATTACAAGGATGAAAAGCGTGACAAATACTGCTGTGTCCACCTGAGAAGCAAATGGCCATAAACAAATCAATAGTGTCTACAGAAAACCCAGTTTTCAAAAAAAAAAAAAAAAAGCAAAAAATCTTTTTCAAAATAAAACTTAGAGCAGGGAAGACAAGTGTTTTATGTCAGTTAGACCAAAGTTTGGCTTAGAGATGTCTACTTGGAAACAGGATTTGCAGCTCTGAGATTTAGTCTTTAGTGCTCTGAAGGAACTGGGGTATTTTGAGTAGGGTATCAAAACATTATTGCAAACAGGAGTGCTTTAAAGCAAATACACTAGCTGGGGATATGCCTGAAGCAGACAAGATTAAAATCGACAAAAGTATTCACCTGCAGTTTTAGCTCCCTCTAGAGAGTGCTGATTTCTTCTGTGTGGTATTTAGAGGTTTGGGGCTTGCCTGAGAAAGTAAGTTTCAGTAATTTTTCTTTCAAAAACAGGATAGTGACTAAGCTTTCTTACAAGTCACGTCTGGTGTGACAATTATGCTACTGTTCTCCTTTTCTCCCCCTTTCTACCCTCCATGTGCGTGTGCACACACATGGACACAGGCACACATCCTCCTGCTCCATTTCCTGAGTCCAGTGTCTAGAAAACCCCTCAGTGGTATAGAAACCAATATTTAATTTCCTCATTTGCCAATTGAGTTTTAATTTATATTCTCATATCTCTCATTGTAAGCACTTAAATCTTATGCAACTTCATGCTCATTCTATGTGTTGTTTTTTTTTCTTTTTTTCTTCTAAAAAAAAAAACACATGTAAATCTGGCATATTAACTCTAAAATTACTACGTCTGTTTGGAGAGTTATTTTACTTTTCAATCCTCTCTTTCTGGTACCAGTTTTTGGAAGAGGTACTGTACAGAGAGTGTTTTTTAAATGAGAATTCAGGACAAACCTAGCATAGTTAAATTGGTGGATATACAAATACATGCAAAGACTAAATTCCCATTAAAACCTCTTTCTTTGAAGATGTACTTCGGACTGAAGTTTGCCCGATAGAGTTGCATGTATCATCTTTTCAACACAAAGAGTGAACAGGGGAATGTTTGAACTCTGATTCACAGCCATGTATAATGGTCTAAAAAAAGCAGACTTGAAAGGCTGAGAGAAATCTAGATTAATCTTATTGATTCTGAAAGCAAATAAGGTATTGTTGCATGTCACCGTAGATCACATCAGGAGTTAGATGAAGTGCGAGGTAGGTATTGGATTTTAATAGGAATAGATGAGCTTCAATGAGACTTACAGTTTAAATAATGTGATAGAAAATGCTAACATATTTAATCAGTTACTCTGCATATTTCATTCGTTACTTGATTGTCTGTTATAATGAAAGTTCATGTTTTTTTCCAAGGTGCTATTCTAAACCTCTGTAACAATTACTAGCCAGAGAGAGGTCTGCTTTTAGACTGTGTAAAGTGCTAATGTAGGGTTTTGCTCCCTCAAGATGTGTCTAAAGCACAGCTTGGTCTGTCAGCAAAAGTAACAGCAATTGCCAATCTGAGTGGAATAGCCATGCAGAACCTGTGAACAGCAGAACGGTGAGGGAAAGGTGGTTTTGCCAGGTAGTTCTTCTACTGCTCTAAAATACCTGCTGTTACATGGCATAGCTTATAAGCAGAAAGCATTGACACAAATTCTGTACATTTTCATTTATAAATAATATTGATATATCATTCACAGATGTTGGAAGTTTAAAAAATGTGAAAACCTTGGAAACATTGATACACATTGGTTTCCCAACAAGCAAGAATGATTAAAGGTTACACCCTCGCTGAACTTCGTATCCTTTAGGCATTCCCAGAGAACACTGTGGGCAAGATTTATCTGTTCTGAATGAGAGACCTGTGTCTGAGTTGTCATTTATATTTATTTTTTTTAAGTCATAGTAGAAAGCTATGATGCAATTTGTTCCCTTCTAGACAGATGTAGAGAAGGGATCATGTAAATGATGTTTCAGAAATGTCTATTGCTCACCACTGGCTTTTCAGAATCTAAATGACCATCTTAGATGTGAATATCTACATTGTAAAACCTTTGTTGAGATTCTTTTCAAGCTTAAGACATCCATGTGTGGATGTCTGCTGGCATGGTCAGTGTCTGCAGCCTCTTATAATCACGGAGGTCTGCCCTCATCTCCAGCTAGAAGGACCCAGATCTCCCCTAACACCTGCTCAGCCCTACATTTGTGGATATCTTGGATATCCTAACGTGTCTTAAATGGCAGCTGTGGCCATGAGCATGTGCTATGTATGGCCTTCAGGGGAAATTTAATTGTTGCACTTTTCATTTCTACCAACTGTAAGGGAGGCTTTGACGCTAGTTGATGCTTAGAGCTACACCGCATCTAAATTTAAGTATTTAAGTGCCTTAAGTTTAAACTGCCTTTAAAGATCAAAAGTTTTTATTAACAGACACCGCAGACCTTTCTCCTTGGTTCTGTGGAAATTAAAATAGTATTATAAAGATAATGTTCGTGTTTGATTTTACTTTTAAATCAAAGGACTTAAAAGTACACAGGGCATGTTTCTTCTTTAATTCATTACTCTGTTCTTTATGTAATCTACTATTTAATGAAATTTAGAGCAGTCTTTTGAAAACAAATGCTACTGCTAAACCTTAAATTAGGCGTGATTATTCTTCATTTGCATAGAGAAAAGTGCAGTGATCTGATAATATTGTTATATACATTATAAAATAATAAATATTATTCTTAAACATGATCATCTGTTTCAGAAAAGATCTGTTGTTTTTCCTCTTCTGTGAAAAGACTATAAAGCTATGAAATTGCACTACTCTTCTTATTTTAACAAATAGCTGTAAGCAGTCCTAAATCCCCATTTTTTGTTTAAGGAAATAGCTGACTGAATATCAATGGTAAATTTGCACATAAATGAATAAACCAAAAATTAAAACAGGTATTATTTACAAATTCTTATGGAGAAATCCTTGTTAATACCAAAATACCTGACTATCCAGAGGAGTTTACTAGTTAATAGTCCAGTAGTGACTTCGGAAATATAAAATTGAAGCCCTGTAGCACCTGTATTTATATGTGGTTACAGTGTGTATATTTGTGTGTTTCACAATATGAAAACCTAATTTCAAACCATAATAAAACTTTAAGGCAACTTTTATAAAGGATACAGAACTTTTTCTCACACAGTGGAAGAAACATATCTGAGTCAGAAGTGGTATTGCACATCTATACTTCATTATGGAACAGGAAAATGCATTCATGTACATTTATACATATGTACTATGTACCTATCTGCTTATAATACTGTTTCTCGGTAAGTCATAGAATTAAAAACAGATAGAACGTGCTTCAACAACATTCCTTTGTGGAACAGTACAAATGTACTGTTTTATGTATTAATGCCTATTTCAAAGGCAATTTAGCCCACTTTTTACAGCACAGAAGAGGCTTTTTATGTCTAATCCATTTGGAGCTTGAATAGCAGACCAGTTTTCCACTTTCTGTAAACAGTGCTTCGTTATATGTGTTTTATGTATTGAATGGGATAGAGGTTATTATTTATCATTAAGAAATGTTTATATACTTAAATTTTTGTTTCTGTGCCTTGCTTTCACAGACTAAAACTGGTATTGCTTTGTTGTATGATGAAGTATCTGAAAATGCTTATGACATCCGACTGAAGCTCACAAAAGAGGTATTAACAATTCAAAAACAAGATGTCGTCTGTGTTAGTGGAAGTGATCACAGTGCAAATGTAAGTGCTTCTATATCTCTGTGCTTTCGACTGCACTTTAATGTCTTCTACAGAGATCAGATTATGGTATTGGAGTGCAAGACATTCTATTGGGTAATAGAAATACGTAATGATGAGTTGGGTTTTGTGCATACTTGCATTCCTGTGTGCATAAACTTATATTTTTTTTTTTCTACCAGTGGTATATGTCCTTTGTTCTGACAAATATAACCTTAACAGTGGAGAAGATATCTATAAATAATGAGAATACAGCATTCTTCCACCAAATATTGTTAGGCTATTAAATGGAATAAAAAAGGGGAAGGGGGGGAAGCTATATTTCCTATAGAAAACATTTTAAGAGAAACTAATACGCCAAAGCTTTTTTTTTTTTTTTAATCGGAGTATCAGGTATGGGCAGTTGTCTGTTTAAGACATGTCTGTTACCTGTTCACAGATAAGGGCACAGAGGTGGCTTAGAAAATACTTGACAGACACTTAGTTCAATTTTTTAAGCAGAGATTGGGCTTAATTGGTGTCAGCATTTATATATGTATGTCTTTCTGTTTTTACTTCCAAATTCAATCATTCAAGTTCAGTCAGGTGATTTTTCAAAAACATTTTGCACTCCTAACCTACAGAGGAGTCTTTTGTATCACCATTTAATAATGTCACTAGAAAAACTAGTAGCACTTTGCATAAGACATACAGCAATGCTCTCTAGATTATGGGCATTCCCAAACACTGTATTTTATTTCCTCATATAAATAGTGTTCCTCTTAAAACTAAGTATAAGTATCCCCAAATGTTACTGAGTGAAATAAATTTCATGAACTGTAATGGTATTTGCTAGTATGAGCAACAAATGGCAATGCACCTCCTTGGAGAGGGCCAAGAGGGAATCTTCTGTCTGCTTGCTGTATTGCACATTTCAAATAAGCAAAAAATCTGGCACCAGGAGACAGGAAGTGAGTTTGTGATACCCTGCTGAAAATTAGGAGCCAAAAAGTAGATAGAGAGTGTAAGTATATACATATATGTGTGTGTATTATTATGTGAGAGAGTCTGCTTATATACCACAAGAACACATTTCATTTCTGTCAAAGTAAATATGTATATATGTATATAGTTTAATGTCACACCAAAAATTAATTTGAAACAAACAGCTTTTAGTGGTTGGAAGCATTTTGTGCTGATTTCAAAACTTGCCTGTGGAACTCAATGGAACATGACATGCTCCTAAAAAATAAAAAAAAAGGTTGCATCAGTTGGCAGCTAGTGGGAGACCACTCAGTGAAGTGAGAGACATGTCATATGCTGGTTGCTTTGCTGAAATAAATATAAACCTAAGCCAAAAATAATCGGCATGCATATACTTTGTGCTTCAATGGGAAATGTGAAATACTGCAGCTTTTAACTGCAGACATTGTTGATAGTGTTGATAAATTTTATACTAATTACGGTTACAATAATTATAGTAATATGTGAATGGCTGCAATATGTTGTATTTTGTGCAATATATCGTATCTGTGCATATAAGTGTATATGATTGCACCAGACTTGGTGGTATTTAAATGCCTTGTGTATAAACTTCCTTTCATAGGAAAAGATTTGAAATTCTATCCTGCCTGATCTTATGCTGATTCTTGAATGAATCAGCACAGGCTGACTGGATCTGAGGAAAAGTTGTATCAAAACTATATTTCTATTAAGCAGCACTCATTGATCTCTCATAAAAAAATAAAGAAGGAATGGTTAACCCAGATACTGACTTAAAAGTGTCAAAATTTGTGTTGATTATGATTCTGATACTCTTTACCTCTACATTTTATGGATACCCTAAATAGTATTTCCTGAAGGAAGACAGAATAGAAGGACAGGCTCTGGAAGTGTTATATTAAATCCATGTGGGCTTCTTCTGTCAAAGTTTAGTGAGGAAAAAATGGATTAAGTCATGGCTTCAAGGCAATATTTGCTTTTTCTATATTACACTTTAACAAAATAAAAACTTTTGGAGAATTAGTATATAAAATAAAGGCCATTTAATATGAACCCTGTGTATTTTAACAGGGTATGAATTACTAGTATATAGGAGCTCAAAAGAAGAATTTGAAATCAGGCTGAAATAGCTGGCTGTTCTCTAGGGCTATTTTTGGTAATTCTGAAGTCTTAAATTTATAGCTACACAAGCTAAATTCAGAAGAGATAAATGCTTTACTTTTCAAGTGGCTCAAGAAAATAATTTTCATCCCTCGTCTGTATGATTCAAAATATTAATAGGAAACTGTAACTTGAAAGTCAGTTCTGTGGTAGTCATGAACAATCACTTTGTCTGACTGATTTATTCTCCTTTCTATGCTTTTCTTTCTTAGTTACTCATAGTTAATCTGTATTTGCACATGGCCATTCATCAAACTAGTTCCTTTGCAACAAAAATAGAAATAACATGTTTGTTTTCTCTCTGTAGTCTTCTCAAACTCATAGAAGGAAGTCAGGAAGATTTTGCTTTTAGAGTAACTTTTCTTCTTAGGTGGGATATATGTGAACAGAGAAATTGAAAAATAGACCTCTGTGTCTACTTGTGATACTACTTTGGTCTCCAGCCGGTTCTGTAGGACAGCATTCATACGATATGTTTGCTTCCAGCCTCAGTTTAGCTTACAGGTTCAGTGAGCCTGAGGACAGGATTTGCAGATGCTTAACTCAGATCTCAGCTGGTCCCACGCAGCAATGAATGCTGAGGAGTGGCAGACACCAGCAATCACAGGTACTGCAGTGGTTTGGGCTTTCAGCAGTACAGATTATTCCCAACAATCTCATATTGATTGTACAGATAAAAGGCTGTCACAGTAAAATACCTGTCTTTTACTAGCATCATCTTGATCTTAACTTATTTCAGACTATGCCACCCTGCATTCATTCAGGTGCTATTTTTATGCACAGAGAAAGCTTCACCTGTGATGAGAAATTGTAGAGCTGTCTTTCTATCATTTGACTTGGATGTACAGTAATGAGAAAGAAGAACATAGTTTCTGGAATTCAAGATGTTTGTAGAAGCAAATGGTGTAAAAGTAACTGTTTATTTTCCTTAGTTTTCAAGTTTTTCTAAAGTAGACAAGATGGCATTTAAATGTCTGTAAAAATCCTTCTGGAAGTGGAACAATTGTGGGAAATAGTATTTTTCAGTGTTTGATTATGTATTATTACATTTATGAATCATAAAACAGATTGTATGTAATATTTAAATGATTTATATCTTTATTATTAAACATCTGATCTTTCCACCAAAATGTATTTCAGGAGTTCAAGTTTGGAAAATCCAAACATTTGAAGCAAATCTTCGTGACTATTGTGTTTGGGGTTGTTCAGACTTGTAGGAGATAGAAGTATGTAAGGGTGCATCAGCATCGGTGTGCAAACAAAGCATGGAGATACTGATGGAACTGGTATATAAAAAAAAAATTGAAATTTTAATTAACTTCTAAGTATTTTTTGACAGAAGATTTTTTTTCCCTGACATGTAGTTCAATAATACTCACAGAAAGGAATCAATTGTATGAAATCCAGGGAAAGATCCGTTGTAAGTTAAAGAAGAAACAGAAGAAACAGAATTCCTTTTTTTTTTTTTTTTTTTACTTTTCATAATATGCTTTTTCTGTATAGTGTGATCTTTCTGTAACTTTTTGTCATTTACCATGTTAAAACTAATTTCTTACATATTCACAATGCCTCACTCCCTTCCTTAGTACTCTGTTTTTCTTCCATGTGTATTGCTACCATCCTTTTCATCTTATCAGCCCACAGTTTTAAGCCTTTCTTCTTTTCATAAACATTTTTTTCTTTTAATTTGTATTCTATTTCTGCATCCTTTTTTTCCCTGACAATTCTACTTGCAATGTAAGAAAAAGAAAAGAAATACATCTGGCTTTTTACCGTGATTCCCTCTCACAGAGCTGAAACGCTTCAGACTTGGTCAGTGGACCTGCAGGTTTCTGAGGCAGGCTCCTGGTTTCTTGATGGGAAGAGGAGTCCTCAGAGGCTTGTGTGAGACTAATAGAATTAGAATGACAAAAACCTTTGCATCCTGGGTACCCAATTGTCCAGCTTCACAAGTCCTGTCTTAGTTTGACAGAATAAAGTGAGGTAGGTGAATAAGGTACCTTTCAACTGAACGATTCGATTTGATTTGATTCTAGATGGAGAGGAAAAAAAGAAGGACTGGAAGGCTTTTTTAATTCAAAAAATAGAAACGGTACCATAAAGTACTATTTCAATCCCTGATGAGATGGCTGTCTTATTTTCTTTATAACATAGATGCTAATAAGGACAGAGAAGAATGTTATTTTAGCATACCTCTAGAGAACAGGGCTAAAGTTTATTTTTTAACCCAAGTAAATTTTGCTCCTCTCTAGATAACTGCTGTTATTGCTGTATTTTCCCAGAGCCTGTTCTGCCATCACTGATATGGTATTTTAGTCTGAAATAGTTTTTAAAAGAGCTTTTAAAAACAGCTATAAAATAAAAACTTCTCTATATTTTGAAACATCAAATGGGTGATTAAATGGATGATAAAAGACTCTTCCTTTTGAAACTAAAATTATTTGTACAGAAAAATTGCATTATTTAACCATTTGTTATTTGTTTTAATAAGTTGGAAAACTGACCTAGATACCTAAATAGTTCATTAGGATCTTTATTATGAAAGCTCACAAACTTGTGTTGTTTTGAGAACAGTTAAGACTTTGGATCACAAAATAAATATGAGTATTCATCAGCATGATGAAAAAAACCAAACTTTAATAATAAAGATAAAAAGAGTAAGTAGCTTAAATAAAAAGAAAAATAACTGTAACAAAACAGAGGAATGCAAAGTAGGCTATGGATATCCCTGAAAAATCATCTTTCAAAGGAGAGTCCAGCTGAGGATGAGCATTCATACCAGCCAGATAGAGAGGAATGGCAGCACACTGATGTTACTACGTGGTAAACTAGGCATACATACAAGTATGTATCCTTTATTA